GGGTGCAGGGAAATGCAACTGCCTTTGGGACACGTCGATCATAAGGGTGGAAGCAATGCCATACCTAGACTCCCGGCAGCCCTGGGCGAACTTTTAGTATCGACTCCCCCTTTGCCAAAGATGATGATCTTTTTGTTTTATAGATTTCATAGACATTCGGGCTGGACGGGACCTTGGAAGATCTTCGCGTCCAGCCCTCCCGCCCCGGGGCAGGAAGTCAGCTGGGGGTCACAGGATCCCAGCAAGACAAGACTTTGTTGCAAAAGTCTTTATCACATCTGTGGTATCCATGTCTTTAAAAAGTTCGTTTTCAATTGATAACGTTTAATATCGCGCATATACATGACTGGCAAACTTTTTTTTTTGCAATTGTAATTTTTTTCATTTTTTTTTTCATTTTTAGGCCCCCTTTCTGTCCAGGTCCCAGGCAGCCACTTAGTTCACCCATGCCTGTGTCCAGGTCTGGGTGCAAGCGCCCCAGGATTTTCAGTGATGGCAAAACCCTGCTTCCACTGGGGCCCGGGAGAGTTTTATTGCTGGATTTCAGCCATCTCAGCTAATGCTGACATGCTCCCAAGATCCTCGCTGTACTGCCAGCTTCATGGGTGCAGACGCATGATACTTGCAGTATTCCCAATTATTTGCTCCTACAGCCTGCAGTGGCAAACCAAAGCTTTACTGGAGGAGCAGGACCTCCACACCGCTGTGCCACACAGAGGATTGCCAGCTTCACTTGTTAGGATGACCAAGAAAACCAGGAACTGGTGACAAATGAAAGCGAGGAACTTGTTTGAATCAGCAAAGGCTGAGTCCACGGTAGATCACACTGGGCTGATTCAGCTTCCTCTTACCACACTACTAACACGTCTCATTTCTGACCTGGGGCTAGTCGAAGCAGCTGCTAAGTTTCTGAGCCCTAGCAATGAATCTAGATGAGGGACTTTGCCAAGGCTTGTCCTCCGCTGCTCTGGCTTTTATCCTACGTTACCAACTGCATCGGCTGGACCGTGCTAGGAGGGGATGCGGCGTAACCCAGCCAGGCCAACGTCTCACGTCTGTGCTATTTGCAGTATGGGCACGGTGCACCAGGGCTTTTGCCAAGAGCCCGCCCTGGATTTCACCCCGGTCCTTCAAAGTGGGTCGGGGTACGTCGGAAGTTGACGTACTTGCTGCATTGCAGGGAGCAGCAGGTAGAGCCCCCGCTTGCTCGTGGCGTGGGGCTTTGGGTGGGGGTGCAAACAGCAGATGTAGCTTTAGTCAGACCACCTATTTTGCCAGCAGTAACCCATTCAGAGGCTTTTGGCTTCGGACGTCTTGTCACTGTTGCTGTATGGCTACTCCATTTGCCCTCTTCTCCCCAGCCCAGCGGTTCTCAAACAGTCGGGACCAAGTCAACCCTCAACACTTCTCCTAAGCCAGCACACCCCTTCAACCTCCACGTTGGCACTGAAAGGGAGGATGCCACCTTCAGTGGACCCCTTCCCCCTGGCTCCCCCCCTGTGCTGAAAGCCCCAGCTGGAACTGAAAGTTATTTTCAGACAAGGAGAAAGGACCGAGCTTTGAAAACTCATGGGCAGGCTGGAGACTTTCCTCTACCTTCCTTCTCCTGTCCTCATCCCACATCCAGCAAGGAGGCTTGGATGGGAGGGTGAGGGGCACAGTAGATGAGAGATGGGATCTTTCCTGGGGCTGGAGTGGGAGTTTGCACAACTCGCTGTTTCCTTTGTGTGTGTAATATGCTCCCAGTCCTGACTCACGGCGGCGATACAGGCAGAACGGAAGAAACTCAGGCGCTCTTTACAAAACATGTTGGAACTAGATTTCCCCGACTGGGCAAAGAAACGTTGCCTTATTGAATAAGAAACTCACTCATGCACTGGGGAGGAGGTGGTCGATGCTTTAACATTCAAGCTGGCTGCAATAATGTTGATGGGGAGCCATGGGGGCTCCTGTCTTTAGACAAAGTTTGCACAACTCACCGTTCCCTTCATGCATGTAGTATGCTCCCAGCCCTGGCAGGGAGCGAACAGTGGCTGCAGCAGGTGTAGGGAGTTGCACAACACATCCCCTCCCACCAAGGGGTTGTTCCCAGGCTGCGGAAGTAGATTGAGCTGGGGCATGGCCTTGATGGGACGGTACCCAAAAGTTGCCTTTAGGTATCCAACAAGCTTCCCCTGCCTCTCTGCATGACCTTTAACCCCCACCTGTCCCTGCATCCAAGCACTCAGGAGAGGAGGAAGAGCAGGATGCAGCCCTGGTGGTTTATGCAACACAAGAGTAAACCTGCATCCAATAGTCACAACACTGATCTAACACCCAGAGGGTTGGCTCTGCTACACCTTCAAATGCAAGATTCGTGTCTGCAGGATGTCGTGTTGTGCTGGTGTAGCTGTTCCCACTGCTTCCCCCTACAAGGCACGTTTCCATCAGCACATCTAGTGTGGACATATCTAACCCGGTTAAACTATTGACACCTTTAAGCGACCACTGTAGAAGTTGTGCATGGACCAAGCACTAGGCCAGGGCCAGCCAGCCCTCCACCTGCGTGACATGCGTGTCCTTACCCAGCCCTACAACCGGACTGCAACCACTGACAACAGACGCACATGCAGAAGGACAAGTCGAGTATTTGTGGATGCCCCCCAAGAGGCTGCGGCTTTTGCCTCTGCCAGTGCCCCAAGTGCTGCAGGGACCTGTATGCCTACAGATACTGCCGAAGTGGGTGCATTGCCCATCCCTTGCCTTTTGCTTTACTTTATACCAAACCTTCCCCATTCAAGACCCTCAAGAGCGGGGGGTCAGATACTTACAGCTGATGGGAGGGAGTTTCTTGGCTGATCTTTGCCACGTAATTAGCAGGCACGTAGCCTACGGATTCCCCTGAAAGCCTGCGGGCCAAGACATACTCGCCCACTTCTTTGTAGACACAGAGTTTGTCTCCTCGGCTCACGCTCAGCTCGTTTGTGCTCCTGGCTGCAAAATCGTACAGAGCGACGAAGAGCGGGGAAGCTGGGAGAGCAGGATCCGGATCCCAGTCTGGCTGCAGCGAGACAAGGTCGGGACCAAAATACCCCGGAGAGCAGTTGTCGGGGACGGAGCTCGGGTGGAGTTTATTCCAGAAGGAAGCCAGGAAGGTCAAGCGCTTCCTGACAAACTGCTCCATCCCTGTTACACCAACCCCGATGTCCCAGCACAGAGCCGCTCCTCCGAGCCACCTCCAGAAGCCAAAGCAGGGACCAACCTTGCTCCCCTCCTGGCCTTCCTAATGCAGACCCTTACTCGCACTCTTCTCAAATCAGCACCGACGGCGTGCCGTGCTGCTTCTCAGCACCGGGGAGGCGCGTCTGTGCTGAGCTTCCTCATCTGGAAAGTGAAACTAGACAACCCGGTGGAACGGGTTTGCCAGCTGCAGTTATAGGCTTGGCTCTGCCAGCACATCTGGCTAGAAAGCCACATCTGGCTAGATGGCTACAGCTGCCCTGCGCTTCTTCCGTCAGGGCTGTTTGACAAAATCTTTAGGGAAGGGGGGGAAACATTCACGACGCTATGCATAGGCATGCAGGAATCGGTGACCTGGACCTACCTACAGCAAACCCCAGGTAGGCGAATCTCCGGCTTGCACTGGGCTGATCGCGTCCTTCGCAGCAGCGTAGTAGAGTTGAGACAGTGACCGAGGTCAGCAGAGCAGCAGGGCAGAGGACAAGCCCCGTGCAGGGGTGCATTGAGATGGGAAGCGACCTGGATTTTCTTTTATGCTGCAGGTTGCAACTTGAGATCTTTTGCCTCCGTGGGTCATTCAGAGCTGCCTTCTGGAATCGCACCCTCCTCCTCCTCTCACTGAACAGGCCTCCCGGCCCCCTCCCTTATCTCATTTGAGGATACAAATCTGTCTAAAATAGACTTTTTTTCCAAAAGGAAGTTATGTTGCATTGCTTTTCCGGCATCTAAATAGCCTCAGGGTGGCTGCTAAAGAGAAATTCAGGACACAAATGGTCTGAAACTTCCCACTTTGGGGAGCATCCACCTCAACAGACTGAGTTTTCAGTCTGGAGGGCTTCAGGGCAACCTTTCCCCTCCTGCTGAGCTGGGAGGATACTTCTCCTACCTGTTATTTGAGGGGCTACCTCAGTCCATCACACTGAGATCTTTGTTTTATAATTCATTACCAGAGTAATGTGGTTGAAGGCAGACAAAAAGGCACCCCAATGCAAAGAGACTGCTTAGGGAAGAGAAATCACACACCTTGGCATCAAGGCCCCTTCCGTGTCCCACTCCCAGCTTCTGACGATGTAAAACTGCCTGCCCCAAGCGCAACCCAAATATTAGGATTTCAGGGACAGGTCCTTCCCTAATGCCACAGGGCAGAGGGTTGCAAGTGCAGCCCTGTGGAGGGCATCATAAGGGGAGTAGACATTGCTGGTCTGCTCCATACCCTGAAGTGTGTTCCCTGGAGTCATTTCATGCTGCTGTACAAGGAAAAGTAGGATGTGGCAGGTGTGTGTCTGTATGCAATCACATCGAGTCCTGGATCTTGGCTTGTACTTGGGGATCACGGATGTCACTTAGGGATGCACCGGAGCCACGCTGCATGGAGTTTGCAGTCACACCTCTGAGCACACGTGTGCACACGCAGAGCTCAAAACCCCATGCCACGAAACAGTTGGAAACCACAACTTTTTTCTAGCATCATTTTATTTGCCTATAACATTTCCACATCCTCACAGAAACCTCATGGCTGCTTCATCCCCTTCACACCCCTAAGACAGGAGAAAAAACAGCAGCGCTTTGGTAGGAAGTTACAATCCTTGTGACACAGGGTGGGAGAGGGAACAGAGCCAGAGGCAGTGAAGGACTCGGGCATATGCTCTTGACCTCTGCGACTGGCTTCTTTGACACATCAAAACTAACCTGTCCTCAATTTGGGGGAGGTCAGGGCACCCCCTGGACAGAAGTTGTAGCACCACTAATAAGCACCTCTAAAGAATAACAGCACCATGGAAAAGATTTTAGAAAGCTGATTACATATTTCTTGCATAGCTGCAGAGCACCTGGGAACAATAAATACAAACACCACTTCGCATTCATTAAGGCATCAAACACAGCGTGCTCTATGCTCCTCGCTGTTAATTGACAGAACACAACAGCCCCCGTGAATTAACGAGCAGGGCCATTACATTTAATTATCTGAGGTTTTTCTTCAAGTCCCGTTGTGTTTACACTGTAAATGTATCTCTGAACAAAAGGCATTACGGGACAAAAAGGTGAATGGAAAATATCCTCCCAATTAAAAATGTCAAGGGGAGATGCTTGGAGCTCACCATCCAGGGCAAAGCCAAGTTTTTTGGCCGTTGAGTTGGAAGCAGTAGATTCCCCCACTCAGCAATTCAGTTTGGGAGATGCCACCAGAATTTAAATGATCCTGGGTAAATCCAAAACCCCTCCTATTTCTGGCATTGCATTCTCAGGGTAGAAATATTTTCCACAGACCCAGGTTTTTTTTTTTCCAATCACTGTTTGCATTAACAACAGGCCCAACTGGTTGCACTCTGAACGTCTCATTTGCTCAGCCAAAGATTGCCAGGACACTTGTACACACAAAAATCAGATTTTGCAAATCCTTGCTGATGCATCTGGCTAAGGTGCACGTGAAGTGTTCCCGGGATGTCTGTGGCAAGAGCTGGTGGGATGGGCATGGTAGGAAGAAAGCACACATCAAAGCAGTTCTCCCTTGTCTCCACCTTTGGAGCCAGGGCTCTGCTGGGGGAAAGCGGCAGGTTGCTGGTCTGCTTCCATCCAAGGGCATTGCATGGAGGTTTTGCAGACCTGGGGAGAGCACCATACCTGAGGCTGAGGAATGCACCCAGAGGGTTAAGAGGGTCAAAAGCCCTTGTGAATAAGTCAGTGTAACATCAGGTCCTGCAAGAAGCTTGAGTGCCCTGGGTGGAGTGGTGAAGAAGGCGTGAGACCGGGTGGAGCAGCTTGTTCTCACTGGCTGGCAGTTGCCGATCCTTCGTGGAGTGGAGCAGGTTGGCTGGGAGGAGGAGAAGTGCCCAGATTACCTGTGGTGGGACGAGAATGGCTCAATGGCAAACAGGTCAGGGCAAGGACCTTTGTTACTGGTATAGCACCAGCACAACGGGGCAGAGACCTGTCGGCACTGCCGCCCTTGCTATCAGCAGCCCCCTTCTGCGGATCCAGCCTCTGCTGTGAATGCACTGAGCTATGTCAAACCTCTTCCTTTCTGAGCAGGCTCCCCCAGCACTTGCTGCCTGCTCAGAGCAGGTCCCAGATGCCCAGTGCAACCTGCCCATCTTTGCCCCTGGAGTCATGGACAGGCAGCACCAGCCTCGAGTTTGGGGGTCCCTGGTTGTGATGTGTTCACTGGTTGGACCTGGTGCCCCGCCTTACATAGTACTGCCTGCCAGCCAGGACATTTCTCTCTCCTCTAAGGATGTGAGATCCCCCAAAATAGGGGGTCCCCCATGCTGTTTTCTATCATGCACGGCTACCCCATGGACATAGTGACGTGGAGGCCACGTGGCACTGTGCTTCCAGCCGTCTTGCTGTGGCACGGGGCGCAGCAGGAGTCCACGGGCTAGCTGCCATTTCTAGATGCTGTCACATTGCTTGCCAGGTTCTGATGCGTTTGCAGTCTGGAGGAGATGCATGCAGGGGCTCTCTCCAGGGTTTTCTAGAGATCCTTTAAAGGCTGTGAGATTAGGGGTCATTTTGGTAGACCGGTAAGTTAAGTCTACATGACCTACAATCTTGCACTGATGCATGTATAAGTGCAAGATCACCCCCCCACCAGCATGGTGTACACACCCGCAGACCTCTTTGGAGCAGGCGAACTTGTCATCTTTTTCTCCATTTCTCTCCGGTCTTTGTCCGCCATCCGTAGGCAGTGGTATTCCTCTGATGCCACCGCAGCTGGCCTTCCAATGCATGAACCTGCAATGAGTAGGGCAAGGAAATCACCAAACCTGCTACCAAACCAAAAGCGCTGGTGCCTGACCACCCACCCCTCCAAGACTAACCCCACCTTGGGCTGCTCTGGAGAGGACATAAAGGCTGGATCAAGTTTCAGTCCTGCCACCACATAGGGCCCGAGTGTGCCTCTGGACTTTTGGGTCTCAGGGAAAGACGATACCATGGGATGCAGAGGACAAATCCCATTGTGGAGGCCTTCTGGTGAAATGGGAGGGATGGAAAGGCTCCGAAACAACAGTAGCCTTCTGCCTCCATCCTCTCTCTACCTTCTTGCTCTCCCTGAGAGTCAGTCACTCTTTCTAGGGGGGCCAGCCAGCCACATCAGCCATGACCGAGCCTGCAGGACATCCTCCCGGGGCACCTAAACCAGCCCATAAAGTGAGTTGGTGGAAAAGCCCCATTGCAGTATGACGTTTTACCTGTTTCTGTAGGACGGAGACAGTCTGTTCTAGTTCAGCCACGACTGACTCAAGGTTTTCCCTTGGGGAATGGCTCTGGGAAGGCTCCTCACTGCTGTAGCCAGGGACAGAAAGTGGGGACTCTTACAAAAAACATTACCTCTGAAATCCCTTGCAGGTGCATATTCAAAACAACTGCTCTCACATTACAGCGACCTCCAGCTTTGTATTGCATGCATCTTTTTTAATAAGAAAAAGGAGAATTCAGGGACAGTGTCAGTGCTTTAAACATCAAGGGTTGCAGCTAAACATCTATGGGTTTTGCTGCATTTGTCTCAATTAACCAGAATCAGAGTTGCAAATGCTGGTTTTCCCTCTGAAGTGAATGCACACACTAATGCCATGTGCAAGGAAAAATGCATCTTTGCACCTCGGCTTCTGGGATTTGGAGGCTCTGCCCCCAGACTTTTCACAATTTCCTGCACTGGGTTCATGGCCGTAAAACAGCACCTGGAAACAGCAGCACTAAACGCAGTCTCGCATTTACTCTCAGTGATATCTCATGGCCATTAAAATCAAGGGAAACTTTTCTACTGCCTTCAGAAACCTTTGGACCCAGCTCAGTCAGTGCACACGATATCACGGTTCCCTGAACAGCATCGCCACTTGATTCTGACACTGCAGGCAGCCAAAAAGGAGCCGATCTACTGCATTTAGCTTTGCAAACATCCCTGAAGTCTAGCCCTCAGCACAGACCACCAAATTTCAGAGGATCGCCTGCACCAAATGTTGCGAGATGAGGTGAAGGGGGGGCTGAGGTAACACACCTGGGGGGTGCAGGCTTGTGCTTGTCGGGGTTTTCTTCGGGGTAGCTGAAACCAAGAGACCTCTTGCCCCGAAATCGCTGAGAAAGAGCCTGGAACTGGCCTCGGGATCTGCAATCTTGAGGGAGGAAAGGGAGCAAAATAAGTCATTCGTATGGCTCGGTTCTTTCGGCTTGGACTACCTCCCACCCTTCGCCTCCCAGCCCTCTGCAGAAGCCCTCGATCGTGCCAGAGGTGGGCAAAAGCAGGCATTTTTTGGCTCACTGTGCCAACCACTAAGTGGGAAGAAGCCATCCTAACTGGACCCCAAGCACCAGTCAAGCACCCCCCCTGCTCAGCTCCCACCTTCGCAGCAATCCTGCCACAGGCGGAGATCGACCGCCGGGATTTCCTCGCAGCTGACCATGCCTTGGGGGTAAGAAGCCACCTGGAAAACATCCCTCTGGAGCTGCCGGATGCGATCGCTGTTGTCGCAGACGATGCGAGCGAGGGATGTCTGCCTGATCTGCGTCAGCTGCGCGGGAGTGAAGACGCCAGGGTTTTCATACCAAAACCTACAGCAGAATGAATGCAAGGAGTGACTGGGGGTAACGGGCAGCGCAAGGGGTGGCTGGGGGAATGCACTGCAGTTTAAGGCATGAAGTATCTGCATTTCAGGACCCGAGTTCGATTCTTGGCTTGGGTTGCATGTGAAATTGAGTCTGGGGGCATAATGGTGCCTGCTGCAGTCAATCCCTCCCCACGTTCCTGTGATGGACAGTATAACTGGCTCGCCACTGAATAGCCTTAGTGCAGTAGATTAAGACTGGTTTGCACACCTGTCCACATCCACTCGGTGGGTGCTGGTAGCAATGGGGAGCTGGCACCACCGCCAGCTTTGCCGGGAGCAGGGCTCACCTACTGTGGACACACGTAATACTAACGTTTCAGCTTTTCCATTTTGGAAACAGATGAACAAACTTAAGAGCACTGAAAGTACCCAGGTGGCTCTGTTTAGTTTAGCCCTTGAATAAGAGAGGGGTAAAAGGCCTGTCCTGACGTAGGCCCTTGATCCTTCTGTGCATACACGGACTACAGGAGAAGAGCGCTCTCTCCTGCTACCTCCGTACCACCGAGTCCTGGCACTCGGGAGACCAAGTCAAGGACCGCTCCCCCCAGGCTCCACAGACAGAAAACCAAAGGCTTTGGCTCGACCCCGTGGGTTGGTACCTATCTCCATCCCGGAGTCTCCTGAACTGCGTCGTTAACAGGCACATCAACGTGGGGCCAACTCTTGTGCCAGGGACCAGGTCTTCTACCATCAGTGCTGGAAACAGGTCAATGTTTTTGGTCGTCCCGTATAAGCTGCAGGGTAAGAAGTGGAAAAAAAAAAGTGAAGAGTTATAAAAAGGCGGAGAAAAGTCTCACTTGGGTTCCTCATCCTACCAGGAATTTGGACTCTGGGCGTTAGGAGCTCATTTGTGGGGTGTTCCCCATGGATTCATTTGGAAAATAACTGAGACTCACTAATGTCAGTCGACACAGACAACTTAAATCTGCTTGGAAAACGTCTCCAGGGGATTAATGTGGTCCCTATAGAGAAACGCTGTCCTCTGTGCAGGACCAAAGGATGAGGAGTCAGACAGTGCTCATTTGGAAAATTCCTGGTACCTTTTCTATTTGGGCTTTTAAAGCATGCATGCCACCCTGGCCTCTGAATATCACCCTGGATATGAATGTGATATCCTCTGAATATCACCCTGCCCTCCAGTGGTACAGCAACTCGGTGACAGAGAGGAAACTATGCTGATCTCAGTGGCCTTGATGCCTTCTTTTTGGGTGGCGGGCAGGGGGCCCAGGCCATGGTACCTCCTGAGCTTCTCCCGGATTTCCAGGTTCTTGATCTCATTCCGGAGGTCCTCGAACTCCTGTGCCGACGTGAGGTTGCAGAAGACCCTGAAGTCATTGTACGGTGGGATGCCGTGGTCCCTGCCCCGCTGGATGTTGATGGCTGCCAGGTCGAGCGAGACGGAGTGCGCCATGGAGAAGAGCTTCTCCGTCAGCTCCATATTCAGCAGCTCGGAGGGCACGCGCATCTTCCCCGGGATGCCAAACAGGCCCCGGAGGAGGGGGTCGATGCCCCCTTCCTGCATGATCCTGAAAGGGGAGAAGAAGGCCTTGTGGAGGGGGACGTGGCCCTGGCGAATGGGCTGGAAGGACTCGTTCAGGCGATACAGGACGGGGTTGATCAGGGTGTGCCCGAAGCGGAAGGCCGCCGTGGCGAAAGCGTTGAGGATCCCGGCATTGGTGTTGGGGCTGTAGCCTTTGTAGTCGCCCAGCATCTTCATGCCAGCCTCCCCGAGGACCTTGGGGAGCCAGTGGGCGTAGGTGAGGTGCTGCATCTGGGCGCCCACCAGCTTGCGCGCTTCGTGGTAGACGGTGTCCCCGTCCCAGTGGGGATTCAGCGCCAGCAGCTGCGTGGCGATGCGGTTGTGCTCCCGAAACCAGAGGGTGTGCATGGCCGTGAGGCCCAGCTGCTCGTTAGCGCGGTGATCCCCCGCCAGGAAGCACGGCACGGGGCTCTCGTTCTCGTCCCGCATGCACTCCGTGGGCGGCCCCACAGCGAAGGGCAGGAGGGCTTTCCCCGAGCTGGGAACCACTCGCCCTTGCTTCAACAGCCCCTTCGGGTTGCTCAGGTCCCTCAGCTCTCGAGACTCCTGCTCCGTGCTGCCGTAGACATTGGAGGCGTCGATATAAGAGGTCAAGTGGTTAATCTGCTCCCTGGCGTAGACAGAGTTCATCAGCAGAGATGTCATCCCACTGCCGCACACGGGGCTGGAGCGGACGAAGAACATGCAGCGCCCGTTCCTCACCCGGGGGTCGTTCTCCGGGATCATGATGGAGAAGCACGGCGGGTCGTTGGTGCACACCTCGCTGCAGGGTGCCCCGTCGGAGAACCGTGACATGCTGATGGCTGCCACCGTCTGGTCCATGTCGTGGTCCAGAAACTGGCCCCACTGCATGAGCATGTGCGTGAACTGCTCGTCGGGGGTGATGGTGTCTGTCCCTATCATGGCCGTAGAGACCAGCCGGGGCAGGGGCAGGGGCAGCTCCCTCGAGTCCTCGGCCAGCGAGAAGCCCCGGGGAAGGTTGAAGCCGTTCTGGTAGGCCGGCTTGAGGAGACGCTGGAAGGCGGTGAGAGAAGCCCCCCACATCGGGTGCTGGAGGTTGTTGCAGGAGCCGTCGTGAGTCCTGTACTTCTGGTGGAAGCAGATGTCGGAGCAGTTGGGCGTGCGGCGGTGGGCAGAGCAGCCAGACAGGTTGGCAATCATGTTGAGGTAGTGCGGCGAGACCAGGTCGTTGTACCGGTAGCCTAGAAAGCAACCCCAAAAATGCATTACAGCTCATCCATGGCATCACCCACCCTGCTAAAGGGGCCACTTGGGGTCTGCGGCTAGGACTCCCACAGTCAACAAGACAAAATTGCATCTCTGGCTTCCAACTGTTTTGGGGAAGGGGGACCCAGGCTGAAATATCCAACCTCAGGGTCACTTGGGGACTCTCTAGTAGAGGAGTGACTTGAATGCTGGCATCTCAAGTCTGCAGCCACTATATTAGCCGTGGAGCCATCTTTTCTGACCTCTCACAGCACAAATATGAGGCCTAGGGATGACTTGTCTATAGTTAGAGGTCAGAGGGAAGATGGTGACCCAGGTACGGGCCTGAATGAATACCCCCCTGAATTAAAACCTGGACAGCTTACTTTTCAACTTACTAATATTTAAAGCACTCTAAATGTTCTTTCAGTCCCCTGTCTTTCTACCCCCTGCTGCTGTTACCATTGGGTTGATTTGACTTGCAAATTTTCCCATGCTCCAAGGCTGGGTCAGAAATAACCTCCCTGTACCTGTGACATTCATATCCACAATTAAACCCTGCTGGACGTGGTCTTGAATCAGCTGCAAGGTCCTTTCGAAGATCTCGCCTGCCCGTGCCGTCTCGAGGGTGTAAGGGTCCCGGGGGTAGCGGAAGAGCGCCAGCAAGTCATTGGGAGTTTTGGGTCGCCTGTTGTAGGAAATTTAAAACGTGCTACGTGTGGTTCTCTATGATTTAAACAACTACTTTGCTCCAAGTAATAGCATGCTGCAGGCACCAGGGCTAGCATCGCTCAGGAAATAAATCTCCAACAGCTCCTATATTAGCGACCCAGTTTTCCTGACAAATTAAAGCCAGCCAGGGAAGTCCATTTTTCTCCCCTCCATGAACAATGTTGACAAAAATAGATTTATTTCAGCCTCATTGTATCATTTTTTTAATGTGTTGGTTCAGTACATTAGTTGCAGTGCTGACAGCAAATGGAAAAGGTTTGAATTTTAAACTTTTTTTTTTTTTTTTTAAATAAAAAGCTGAAAATCTTCCATGCCAACCATTTTTAGGTGAAATCAGCATTATGTCAAAAAAAAAATCCATCAAGAAAAAGTTTAGATAAAAAAATTAAGTATGAATTGAGTAAATTGTATTTATAAAATAATTATGCGGATCAGACAATTTTCCTGGCTGCTCTGCCTCTTCTTTGAATAGCTCAGGACAATAAAACTGTTTCTTGTAAGACTCTTCCCAAATTCAGAAGACCTCTCATTATGGGATTTTAGCCTATTAATCCTACGCTCTCTAGCTGGCAAAAGGAATCACAGCTTTTATTTATACACTTTGTGAGAGAATATATTATTTCTGAGCTCTCTCCACTCAGTGTTTTAATTATCTCAATCTACTCCAGCTTCAGTGCCTCCAACCTTAACCCCCGGTGCACTTACTTGCTGAACAGCTCAGTTCGTGTCGAATTGATAGCATGGTCCACGCTGCTGATAGCTTCCTTGATCGATGAGGCTACAAAGGTGTCACCACTCCGACCAACGTCCGTAGCTTTTAAACACCAAAAGGGAGACAACGATTAACAGAAATTGCTTTACAACTCCAAGCTCGAGAGGATTTGCCATCTGGATCCAGTACAAAATACAATGCTGCAATTAGCTCATCATGCCATCATAAACAGCCGAGGGAAACATTTTGTCCCAGTTTGCAGAACAGCTACGAAAGCAAAGCACACTGCTGCAAGGTGAAAGACGCAGCACAGCAGAATACACCCTCAGACTTAGGTGGATACCCCCAACATTTTGTTATATGGATACGTGCTTCAGTAAAACAAGCAAATGCCTTTTAGTTGCATTCATTCTGCACTCGCAATCACTTTCCACAGATCTTCTAAGGAAGAAGGTAACTGGTAGAAACGTTCATTGGAAAGAATCAACTGTTATTTGGAAAAGCCTTGTGGAGCAGGATGACAGCATCTCTCAATGCGAGTAGAGCTTTGGGAAGCAAATGATTTATTTTTTTTGGTTTGGTGGCCAAGCTCTGCTCTGTGCCAACTGAAATAATATTTTTTCTGAATCTCTCCCAAAGAATAATCCCCGCAAAGGACTAGGGATAAAAAGGAAATTATTTAAACACTGCGATTTTATTGGCAACATCGTTCTCATTCTCCCATTCTTTGGGCTTATCTACACGTGCATATGTGCCGTCATTACGGTGCATTTAGTTTAGTACCTGTAATGACAGGCACTAACTAAATGTGGTGTAAATCAGTGCTACTGCACAGTAGCGCTGGTGCATGCTTTTTAAGTGATGCTAATGCACAGTAGACTAATTCCGCTATGCATTAAACACAGGTTTTTTGTGCCATGCTAATGAGCGGTAGAATTAGTCTACTGCGCCATTAGCATCTCATGTAGACATGCCCTTTATGTCCTAATGACCCCTCTGCAAGCTAAAGGAAAGGACTGGATTCAGTGGTCTAAGCTAGGAAGCTCGTCCCAGTCCTGTTCTTATGGGTGACAGAATTATCCTCTAATAGAAGCAGGCAGCAGCCTAGCTTGCACCTCTGCCATGAAAAATCAAAATGTACCATGAAAAAAAATAATCATCAACACATTTGTTCATGCAACTAACCTAGCAACATGGTGATTTTTCATCCCGTGTATGTAAATACTACATATCGTGTACAAGCACCCATATATTCTCTGACTTCAAAACTAAAGACAAGATCATGGAGGAAAAGGAGATGCTCTACCCGTGATGGTCAGCTGCATGGTGCTGGAGGTGAACCCAAAGGGATTCCTGGCAATGCATTCATATCTGCCCTGATCAGCCACCCCCAGGTCTCGAATGGAAAGTGTCCCATCTTGGCTCATGTGGAATTTGCCGCTGTCTGTGATCTGAATGCCCTCCTGCGTTGCACACCATGAAAAAATAAATAAATTAAAAAAGGAAGAAATTTCAGTGTTTGGAAAGCATCCCGTCAGCTTTATATTGGGCTTATCCAAGAAACAGAGGCCCAGCTGGGATTAACCGACAGAGCCACCAGATGTTAGCATCATTCTGTGCAGCGTAGCAAAGGAGGGGGAGAGAAATCCAAAAGCCCAAACAAAGGACACTATCTTTCCCTATCCGTCCCAAAGCACATCTCCTCCCTATTCACACTCACACAGCAATCCTCCCCACTGCCCCTCTCACACGTCGTCATCCGCACTTCATTCATTCATCGCTCTTCACCTCTTTGTCCTCCGGAGAGAAACTGAGCCCAGCTGAAGACACAGAACTTGGGGCATTGCTGAACCTCGAGAGGAACAGCTTCTCCCTGAGCAGGCTGCAGCCTGGGACAGGCCTGGAGTACAGTGCCGTGAGCCCCAAATATTCAGCAATCACGAGTTGGAAGGCTTAAAGTAACCACATTATTATTTTAAGCCAAACAACTACAGCTGAGACTTGTTGCTGGGATTGAAGCTTTCAGGGTGCTCTCGAGTGACATTTCCAAGTGCCTTTCTTTAACTGGAAGAAGCAAGTCTTTCTTTTTCAATGCATCCATTTGCCTTCAGTAGCTAACATGGACCTCCCTCTAACCCTTTTTCAGTAGATCTCAAAGGTGTTTACAACTGTAACATTTGCAATACAATCAAGGGAATGGGAGATGCCCTTCTCTTTGGAGCCTGGGGTCTTCTAGCCAAGGGTAGAGGTCTGCAAGGGCCTTTACCATCTCACACGCAATGGTGCAACTCTGGACTGACCACAACGAACTCATTATAGGCCTGGAAAATCCTTGGCAATCTTAACGAGGACACTTAACCCTTGAAATTCCCGTCTATCATTTATCTGTGCAGCGCACAATGCAAAAAGCTCATTCTTGACTGCAGTGCCTCAGTTCGACTGTAGAGCAAAACCTAAGCAGTTATAAGAGAAGGTCTGTTTCCTATTTGAACTAATACAGAGATTTCCTTACTTCCCTTGGCTCCCAAGGTTCACTCATGTCTAAAACTATAGGCCTGAGAGCGCTTTTTTCAGGCTACTGCGTGTTTCGCACTCTCTCTTCTGCAGTTTTGTTCTACTTCTGGCTGAGTTCAGGTAGGTTAGTCTTCATATTATGCTGTAGACCTCAACCAGGACTGCAGTGCAATGTGGTGCCAGAGGGGAATGACAAGGTGCCTCCCAAAGGGCTCCTGATCTAATGAAAAACTAAGCATTTTTCTTTTCCAGCTACAGCCAACCCTCCTCTTTGCTCTCTGATATTGCCTTGCGTGTTTTAGTTTGCCTTGTCAGATCCAGAACTAAGTTAGGCGGCACATTTGATTCCCACCAGTGGGAATCCCTGAAAACAAGAACAAATTGTCCTGTATTAGAACTATCCTCGTCTTTGGGTCTTGGCCAACTAATATATGGAGAGGCTGGTAGCTCCTGTTACATCCTTGGAGCAAAAAGGAAAGCCACTTGGAGGACAAAAGCCTAGGTTCTGAACAATCAAAAATCCTTGTCTGTTATGACTTGATTGCACGTCCTTTGATGCGGCTTCCTGCACAAGCTCATTTGAAACAGTGGCAGCATTAGATAACGATGCCAGGAAGGGGTTTGGCTCTGGGACATTAGCCACAATGCTGTTGGTGATGGTGAAAGGATGAGTTTTCCTACTTTGACCCAGGTGATGGTGGGCTGTGGATCCCCGCGGGCAGCACAGATGATCACAACATCCTGTCCAGTCTCTGCCTCCACATCTTGGGGGCGATGAAGAAACACAGGGACCACTGCATAGGAGGGAGAAAGACGGGGGGGGTGGAAAAAAAACACCAACAAGCTGCTGCTTGGTTAGGGACAAATTGGTTCGAGTCTGTAACTTCTCACAAGGGGGGAGTTGAGATTCCCAGACCGC